GGGTCATTGTGAGTCAGAATCGACTCATTGGCAGCAAGCGTGGTTTTTGGGTTTGGGGGTTTGGCTTCCGAGCCTGATGGCTGGTGTGCAACTAAGCCTCGCTGAAAAGAAGACAGCTGGGCAAACACTGCTGTGATAATAGAACGTAGATGCATTGCAACCTGAGACGCGAATTTACTTGACACTTCTTTAAAAATTCAACTTTGCAGTGGTGCTTCTGATAGGCTCCTTTCAGGAGCTGTGGGTCCGTGTGGTTCCTTTGTTCTGAGGAGCCCTGGTGTCGCAGCAGTGAGAGCACTCACCTGAATCCACCAGTCCCTCAAAGGGAGGAAGGCGTGCTGGCTTTCTGCCTGAAGACCCATTAACCCTGGGACCACCCTGGGGCAGTTACTCTCGCCCACCCCGCAGGGTGCTGCCGCTGGGAATCCACTTGGAGGCAATAGCGTTTTGCCTTTGGTTCTGCGTGCGCTGAACGTCCTGATTCATGTTGAGACCAAGCCTTCGGCAAAGCCTTGCCTCTTTTCACCTGACCTGGAGTGTCCGTTTTTTCCCAGACGTTCTCGGGGTATGTCTAATTGAAATGCCAAGCCCACAAAGGTGCCAGGGCTTAAGTGTGCAATTATGTAACTCTCGCCTGCTCTTTCTTTCAGAGTGTTCCTGCGAGCAATTAATCAGTATGCAGATATGCTGAACAAAAAGTTTCTGGATCAAGCCAGCTTTGAGCTACAGGTAAGAGAGGAAGTAGACAGGACCTTTAGGGACGAAGCCTGTTGAGAGGAATTGGGGGGGGGTGAGTTGGTTTTGTCTCTGTCTCATGCCCACGTGACCTCCATCTCTCACCAGAGAGATGGTAAGAATTTATAATCCTATAAGGGACCCAAGGACTGAAACCCAACACCCTTTGGGGTCCAGAAGAGGTGTTTCAGAGAGAAACACCTGGATCAGATAGATAGGCCAATGGGGATCTCTGACCAGGGAGCCCGAGCATCCCAGGATGCCTTAAGGCTGCGAGGGGCTGTAGTAACGCACCACCAGACGTCAGCTCTGCTGGACATCCAAGAGAGTTCTAATTCAGGAAATGGGGAGACACACAAGCACCCGGGCAAAATGCTGCAGTGGGTTGCAAACTGGGAGAGAGAGAGAGCTTGGGAGGAGGCCCGGAGAAGCTGGGACACAGAGTTACGAGGCTGTTAAACTGGAGTCTTAAAACAGTGGGCACAGCAGAGTGCGAGCGTGTGCAGGCTAAGTTTGTTACATCCTGAGCCCAGTTTCACACGGCGTTCCCCGCCGGAATAAATTGGGTTTCGGCTGTATGTCTAGCTCCTCCCTCCTCCTCAGGGACCAAGTTTACATCTTTACGTCGTTGCAGGTTGGTAACGAGCTAGCAGAAGGGGAGCTGGAGCCTGCAGGCTGGGGTACCAGCTACTTACCTGACCCTGTGGACAGTGTTTGGACACAGGTACAGGCTTCATTAGCAGTGTCAACTCCGATCAGATGCCCGACCTCTGACACGCTGGAGCAAGGCACTCCTTTTGGCCCAAGCTCAGCAGACAACTTGCACACACAGCTGTCATCCGAGCCAGGATCCTGGCTCTTGTCCCTTTGTGTCACAGCAGGTAAAATTCGCCCAGAAGGCCGTTTTGCCCTTCAGACCAGTAGAAGTCAACATTTCAGGTTAATTTCTCATGGAGTTTGAATGTAGCCTGCAGTCATCCGATTCAGGCATCCCAGGACCTCCACCTTAAGGCTCGAGGTGTGAACACTTGGTGATGGTGGTTGGGAGGTAGGGGTGAGGGGGCACCAGAGGAAGAAATACAGGTTTGCAATTTGAGCTCAGCTACCCTTTGAGTGTAGTTTTTGCCCCTGATGGTTGTTACAGCCTGAGTTGTTTCACACGGCGTTCTCCCAGGAATAAATTGGATTACAGCTTTATGTCTACCT